ATCCCCCACTCGTCCGCCAACCCGAGCGCTCCGCCCGTCGAGGGAATGAAGATGTCGCTCTCGCCACCACACGACGGGCACACAAAGCCCGACATGTTTTCGACGACGCCGAGGACGGGTACGCCCACCTTGGCGCAGAAATCGAGTTCCTTCCGGACGTCTTGCAACGCGACTTCCTGCGGAGTCGTGACGATCACGGCGCCGTCGACTCCTCCCGCGGCAGCGAGGTACTGCACGATCGAGAGGTGTTCGTCCGACGTCCCGGGCGGCGTATCAATCACGAGGTTCTCCAACTGGCCCCACTCGACATCTTTGAGGAACTGCTTGATCAGGCCGTTCTTTTTCGGACCGCGCCAGATCACGGCGCTGTTGGACGAAGGGAGGAGGAACCCGATCGAGACGAGCGAGAGGGCCGAGGTGATCGAGAGGGGGAGGATCCCGGACGAGGTCGAGTGCAGGCGCTGGCCTTGCATGCCAAACAGTAGCGGGAGTGACGGACCGCAGATGTCGACGTCCATGAGGCCGGTCTTTTGGGTGCGGTGGGGTCAGCTCACGCCATGTCGGTGGGAGGGGGGTTCGCCTTTGTCGAGGGGACTCACATCGTTCTCGCCTTCCTCACCCTCGCTCAGCGCCCACCCCAGCATGGCACTGACCGTACTCTTGCCCACTCCTCCCTTCCCACTCAGCACCAAGATCTTGTTCTTGACGTCCTTCAACCGGTCCTGCACGGCCGCGAGATCCGGATCCGGTCCTTTCGGTGCCGTCGAGCACGCGTCCTGGTTCGGGCAGCCAGCGCACCCCGGCGCGAGACCAGCTTGTTCAGATTCTGTGCCCTGGGTTTTGGGGGGGCCGAATGTCAGCGAGAGGCGGGCAAGGCGAGAGACCCGAGATGAGTAAGCGAGGAGCGGCGAGGAGCGCTCGTCAACCAGAGGAGAAAGGCGCGACACGTACGGGACAATGCTCCGGGGCGTTCCTATTCGACGCGCTGCGTCAGCATGCGCTCATTTGCCAGAGAATACGCGGGGGACTGACTCTGGGATGTGCGAAGGCAACAAAGTGGCGACAGCCTGCGCAGTCGCTGCTGGTTTCGCTGATGCCTGAGCGGGTGCAGGGGTCGGGCACGCGGGCGGTAGAGCGACCGAGACTGCCATTGTCGTCGTTCCTTTACGAGCTGTTTGCAAGTCTGAGCCGCGAGACGGGAGAGAGACTTCGATCACATCAGCTTCGGAAGCGAGCTGCTCGCGCGGAAGCGGCGACCGCGGAAATTGCGCCACGCGTGATTCGTCGCTCGCTCGACTCCGGCTGTCTCTCTCTCTCTCTTCTACACTTAACTGGAATGGCATAGCGGAAGGTCGACGCTCTCAAAACAACAGAAGACTGCCTTGCACGCTGGTCTTGCTGGCTCGGCTGAGTCTTTGTACTTCGTTCCTAATCGTTCCACCCCTCCGAACGAGGATCCGCCACTCTCAACAGCTTCGCTGGCCAGCAAACTCGTCGCTCGAGCTCAACAACGACTCCAGGCAAATTATCCGCATGCTGGCCTTCCCGCCGCTGCTTTCGGCGTAATTGCCAAACCCGTTCGACGGCATTTCTGAAGACAGCCAGCCGTCTCGGCGAGCGCGTTTTTTCGCCCGCCCGCTGCATGACTCGGAGCGCTCGCTGCTTCTCGGGCCTCATCTTTGTTGCTCGAGAATGCAGTCGGCCGGCCACCCTTGCCTGCCGCCTGCAGACCCTGTGCAAAGCCATTTGCAACACGCCAAACAACACATGCGTCGGTCTCGTCGACCCTGCCACTACGACCGCAGGATTCTGCATCGCACGCATACTCTGCGTGTTCACTCTCAAGTCCTCTCTCGCTGGTGGTGGTCCGACCTGCCTCCGTCGCTGAGTGCACAAGCTCCTTTCCCGCGCAGCTCGAGCAAGATGGACATGCTGCGGCTGGAACCGCAGTTGCCTCTTTTGGCCATTTTCACGCGCGGATCGAATCATCAGTCTGCTGCTTCATGCTATACTGGGTGAGCTGCAACCGTCCGAACGGCGGACGCACCTTCCGAGTAAGCAAAGCCAAGCGCAGGCTCATCGCGTCTTGATGGGGTTTCCACCGTCTAACTGGCATCTGTCTGCCATATTCTTGGCTTTCAGAGCGCCTTCTAGCGGTAGTCCTTGCTCAGATCCGCGAGACCGATTCCGACTCCTCTCGGTCGTCCTTTCGGTCATACAGTCGAGTGATGAACGGTGGCGATAGTACGAGTTTCCGAGACCAAGCAGAGCGGAAAAACCCGCAGAAAAAGTCCCGTGCCCGGACGGCCCCGTACGGGAACAAAGCAAAGGCATAGCTTAGCCCAGTATAGAGGAAGGGGAAAAGTTTCCAGCGACTCCACTCGCGCGGAACGGCTCGATGAACTTGCTCTCGGTCGGCGACCGAAGAAGCTCTCTATACTCGCGACTATACGCAGCTTGACTTCTTGATAGGTGCTCGGAGCCTCTTAGGACGTGTGGAATCGGCGCAGCTCCCGCCTGCTAAACTCGCCGCGCTCGACTCGACACCCTCACCCGACTTGTTCACCGAGCGATCACCTTGTTCGCGGACCGAGAACGCTCTACGACCGTTCGGGCCGACACTCGCAGCAGCTTGGTGAGCTACGTGTTCACGCCAGGACCTCCCTTAAGGCCGCCTCCGCGGCACTAGGCGGATTACGAGGGGCGGCACTCTCGTGCGGGTTGAATCAACTTCGATGGCAGGTCCCCGGGAGAGAGTTTCGCGTCCGTATTGTTCCAGCCGGGCAGGCGCGGAGAGGACACTACGACCACGGTGCGATGCGGCGCGGGCCGAAACCAGAGCCCTCATCCTGAGTTGCTCGAGGCACGGCTTTCGGGCTCACTTGCTGTCGCTCTCGGCATCACCAAGATCGCACGAGGTGGCCACCCGTCGGGCGCTCACAGACAAGCGATTCGAAGCTCTCACGCCCTGAATGCTGACCCCGCGTTCAAACATTGCCAGATTCTCGCCTCAACGCATCGCCCTCTCCCGCGGAAAGCACACGTCGAAGATGACTGTCGACCTCGAGCAAAAGCAGCGCGACATTGAGAAGTACGAAGAGTCGATCTACTATTCGGCACGCTATGCGGGTGAGTGGCTTGCTTTCCGCTGGGCTGTATTTCGAGATTCGCGAGCTCACTTTGGATCTTCCCCCTCCCGTCCGACGATACTTCCAGACGACGAGTACGAATACCGGTGCGCACGAGCAATCAGCTCTCCAGTCTAATACATCAGGAAAGCTGACATCTTGACAAAACCTGACGCAGTCACGTCGTGCTGCCGAAAGCGCTCGCCAAGTACCTCCCGAAGGATCGCGTCGCCGAGGAGGACGAGTGGCGCGGGCTCGGGATCCGCCAAAGCCCGGGTTGGTGGAACTACGAGGTGCGCTAGCCACCTCTCGCTGACTAGGCTGCAGAGGAAGCTTACTATGTTCTCGATTTCGTTGCAGCGCCACGCGCCGGAACCGCACATCCTGCTCTTCAAGCGCATCAAAGATCCGGCCGTCGCGCAAAAGTAGTCGATACGCAGCTCTCCAAGCGCGCTTCAAACACCTTTCGCCTCTTTTCGCACGCACGCTATACCCCTCGGTCTCTCCTTTCCCCCTTCGCGCCTCCGCCGCAACTTTGCATTCTCTCTCTCTCCTCACGACACTTCGCAGTCCCCTTTCGCAATTTCGCTATCGTTCCCTTCAGGTCTACCCACACTGGATCTGTTACTCCTCGCGTCCTGTATCTTCCTCTCGGTTATTCTACGCCGCCTCGGCCTTTCTGTCCATGCATTGACGATCTTTGCAAGTCTCGTCCCATTGGATCTGCAGCGGTGGTCAAGGGAATCTGCGCTCTGTCTAAGGCTGATATCAGTCGGAAACTTTGCATGCGAGACCCCCCCGAAGTCTCGCACTTTGCGATTCTCGGGGGTCGAGCTTGAGTGATCTGCAAAGCGCGGAGGCGAATGTGGTCAGATATGCCCTCCTCTACAACAGGTCAGGGGCTGAAGCAGCTTCCGGTGCTTTTCAGTGTCTGGCAACCTCCCTACTCTAGTGTTTGATGTAACCGCTTTCTTGAGCGTTATGCCAGACCCAACAAGGAGCGGGCGAAAGCAAACGCGCTTTTCCTCCCGTCATTGGCAGAGACGTCAAATTGTTGAGTCTCTCTTGCCTGGATTTGCGCTTGAGTGTGGAATAGCTAGAGGCATGGTATTGAGCATTTTTACTGGCTATAAGTGGAGTGTGCGAGCCCGGCCGGTGGTCCGCCCACATACACATTTCAGTTTCACTTGTCCCTCCGCTGCTCTGCTTCAAACCAGAGGTGTAGAAGGAGGCATATGCATCCGGTCAGGATGACACACCTGAAGGATAGGGTAGCAGGAATGCAAGGCCAGGAGAGCCATAAAGACTGTTATCGCCCTTTAACCCCTTGCCTCCTGAACAGCTGGCAGACTGCAAAGCAAGCAGCAGCCCATTCATCCTGCAGCAACATGTCACTCAAGTTGCCACCCTGTAGCTTGTAGTACAGACTGACGCTGGCATTACAAGGCCAGAAGAGTGCAAGTCGTGTCAGGGGAAAAGTGCCGCCTTCCGGAGGTTGTGGAAACGCAGCCACCACCCGGACTGCGCACTTTGAGGCCGCTGCAGCATAGCCAGACCCCGACTTGCGTGAGCGTAGGGCGAGCATAGGAACAGTCTGTGTTCATGGGGGCAGAATGTGGCCCGTCTGAGAGCAACAGCGCTCGCTCCGTCTGTTTCTCTTTGCCACTCGACGGGTCGAGCTCAGAGACGAGTCAAAGGGCCGCCCCCGCTCCTACATATGCTCCTCCAGGCTGTATATAGCGCCCTTTTCATGCACAAAACAGAGCCTGAACGGCGCATTTCTGAGGCTAGGACCGCCATCAGGAGGCGCAAAAGAGAACCCGAGGGAGCGTTTTCGCAATTGCTGGATCCACTCTACGGACCCCCAAAAAAGGCCACAGCCCGGATTCGAACCGGGGACCTCCTGCAGTCATGACCCAAAGCAGGCATAATAACCTCTATACGACTGTAGCACCAGTGTTATGTTTGTGCAGGTTCCAGAATTGCATACATACTCTACCCACAAGGTCTTTCGGGGACAGAAACTGACCGTCCCGGAGTTTTGATCCGAGCAGGAGGCTCAGGCTGGGGCCAAAAGTCCCAAGTCGACGCCTCGAGTGGTGCCTATAGTCAAAGCTCGTCACTTCCCGAGTCCATCAGTGTGCTGTCTATGGAGAACCAAGAAAATGCTGGAATCGACATGCTTTGCAAGGAGAAACTGCGGAATCGGTCCGACCCGCCAGCACTCGGAGCAAAAGTCCGCTCTGCTGCTTCACCAGTCGCACTTACGGGCCCGCGAGGTGCGGACTAGTGTCGGATTTGCACCTCGAGGATCGAGTATGCTGGCGCAGGCGAGGCAGCCTCGCTTCTGGACCGTATGGTGCCTCCTCGCGGCGTAGCAGCTGGGACCGGCGTCGGAGGAGAAGGCGGACTTGCAGTGAGGTGAGTCGGCGCACTAGCTGAGAGTACTGGAACCCGCCGTCTCCCGTGAAAAGTGGCGCGCTGGTCGTCGTCGGTGCCGAGAGCTGCAGTGTTCTCATCGCTTGGCGGCGGCTCCGGGCAAACTTCAAGTCTTTGCTCACGACGACTTCTCTGCTCTAAGGACTCGCAAGCAGCTTCCTTATGGGCACTCGCTCGACCTGCATGCCTAGGTAGCAAAACCCCTCGCATCTCCCCGCTCAACAAGAACATGGCGCCATCTTCGGACTATTCGCCGCTCCTCGCAGCCGAGCACAGCGACCACGCCGCCGGACCACACGAGCACGTGTTCCCGCCTCCAGAACGGGCTACAAAACGCTCTCAGCGCCGCCTGCCTCGCCAACGACCGCCGCTATGGATTCCGGACCCGTTCTCCTTCCGAAGCGTCGGCTCCACCTCGCCGACGCCTGATCGAGATGGCGCCTCGACCGACAGTGACAGCGACAGCGGGGAGGATACGGTGTACGGCTCAGAATCAGAAGAGACTGGCAGCGAGGAGAAGCGACAAGCCGGGTCCGCACCCGTCAAGAACGAGTCAGCGTCGACCACCGACGAGGAGGACGGGTGGGAGTTTTCGCTCGCAGCGTTGCAGAAGGACCGCACAAAAGTACGCGCACCTGTCACTCCTCCTGCGTGTGAACCCGCTTAGCACGTGTCACTGTCCCTCCTCGCAGCGCCGCCGTCGCCTCCTCGTCCTGTTCCCAGCCTTTCTCGTCTTGACCCTCTTTTTCGTCCTCGCGCTCGCCAACCTCTTCGGACCCTCGTCGGGACACAATCGGTTCTATGGAGCTTACGCGAGCAAACGGCGAATGTCGCTCGACGAGGTCCTGAACGGGACGTTCTACCCCGAAACGAAACGGGTCGAGTGGGTCGCGGCCCCAGCGGACAGCGCCGACTCTGGTGAGCAGCGCGATGGTCGAGCCTTCCTCATTCTCGAGCTTCGGGCCTTGTCAGGCGAGGCTACGGTTATCCGCCGATGCTGATCCAATGCATCCTAACTGACAGCGCAAGACGGATGTTACGCCGAGCGAACTCCAGACGGCTCAATCATCCTTTCCAATCTGTTCGACAACTCGTCACGGACCCTCATCGACGGCGCCGACGTCACTGCAGTGGGTCGTCTACACTCTGTGACAGCGCGTTCCGCGCGAGATCAGCGGGAAACGGGCCAACGGGCGCAGACTAACGAGAACTCGCGTCTCACAGCCCGACGGATCTCGTCTGCGGTGGTCACGCTATCAGCTGAGCGCAGACGGGCAATACGCCCTGCTCGATACGGACTGGACCAAGGTGAGCCGAGCTGCATCCTCTCTGAACCACTTGTTTTCTCTCTCGATCGCTCTCGAGACTCGGATGCGAGGCCTTTTTTTACTCACTCGAGCATACGCCTTGCCTGCAGGTCTGGAGACACTCGACCCTCGCCAACTTCTATTTGCACCGCATCGCCTCTGGTGACTCGCCCGCCTCCTCTCGCCCGCAAACCCACCCGCTCTTGAAACCCTCTTCACCGCCTCTCACGTCGCTCGCGCTCTTTTCTCCGACTCGGCACCACCTCGCCTACGTTCACGCGAACGATCTCTACATCTTGCCGGCGAGTAGGATCGACACGGAGCCGCGAGATCGAGAGAAGGGCTGGGAGGGAGAGGCGATTCGGATCACGAAGGATGGGAGTCAGACGGTGATGAGTGGCAGGCCTTCGTGGGTCTACGAGGAAGAGGTGGGTCGGCAGGACTTGCCATACTATCAGACGAGCCCTCAGATACTCAAAGTCGTGCGCCTAGTACTCTGCTGACCTTTGTCGGTCCGCTCGCAGGTCTTCTCCTCCGACTCGACCCTGTGGTGGTCCCCCTCGTCGTCTCACCTCGCCTTTATCTCGTTCGACGAATCCGAAGTCCCTCAGTACGACTATCCGATCTACAACCCGAGTTCGAGTGAAGCCGCTGCCGACGCAGGTATCGACGGATGGGAATACCCTAACGAGGTCGGTGTGCGGTATCCCAAGGTACGCGAGCGCAACAAAAATCTTTTGGCTTCTTTCTCGAAGACAGCTCTCTCTGCGTCTGTGCTGAAAGTCTTTCCCTTTTTTTTGCCGTCGTCGCACAGCCCGGCTACCCAAACCCGCGCATCACGGTCCGCGTCTTCTCCCTCGCGCGCTACCTCTCCCTCTCGACCACCCTCTCGGCCGAAGAACGCCGCTCCTCCTCGCTCTTGACGCTCCGACTCTCGCGTCCATTCGACCCCGAAGACGAAGGCGAAGTCGTCACTGAAGTGGTTTGGATCGGACCGGACGAGTTGCTCGTTCGGATGACGGACCGGTCTGCGCGGGTCGAGCGCATCGGGCGATTTGATCTCGCGTCGGCGGAGTGGCAGCGGAAAAGCGCGGACGCGGAAGAACAGGTGCTGGAAGGAGAAGTTGTGCGCGAGACGGATTGGTGGGAGAAAGATGGCGGGTGGGCCGAGGCGGTGAGCCTTCGGTCTTCCCAGGGCACGCCCCTTACTACGCGGCACTGATGCCTTGGAGTGTGCTGGTCTGACAGGCTCAGAATATCGTATCGATATCTCCGCCTGCGACAGCTGAGGGCGCGCGCTCGCACGACTACCCGCCCGGCTACCTCGATCTCCTCCCGCACGCGAACGGATTCGTACACGTCGCCTACTTTTCGCCTTCGACGTCAAGTGCTCCTATCTTCCTGACGGGCGGAGAATGGGAAGTCGCCGGCGGGATTGACAGGGTGGACTTGCAGCGAGGCTTGATGTGCGTACGGAGCGCTCGAGGTTGCTCAAAAAGGCTTTCTTACTGACCTGCAGAGGAGACGCCTACAGCTACTTTACAGCCGCACGACCTTCTGTCTCTCGGCACATCTATTCGATCCCACTCCCACGCAGTTTTGCCGACCTCGAAGCGCTCCGTTCCGGAAAAGCGAAGCACCCCGAACCGACATTGTTACCGGGTCAGCTTGTCAAGAAGGGCGAAAAGGCGGGCCTCGCATCATACAAGGTTTCGTTCTCGAAGGGCGGCGGCGCCTATCAGCTTGACTACGGTCCGTCCGATGATGACTGCGCGGCTTCTCGCCGAATAGCCAATCTCACGTTTGCTTTTGCCTTGCAGACGGGCCGAGCATTCCTTGGCAAAAGCTGTACAAAGTCGAAGATCCGGGTGCGCTGCTCCTGGCTGTCTTTTTTAAGTCACGGCCGCTCGCTCACCCTCGCCTCTTTCGCCCGCAGACGCGCCGCTAATTCTCACTGACAACGCGGCTTTCGCTGAGCGAGCTGCGAGCTACTTGCATGCCGACATCACGCACTCGCGTATGGTGCTTGAAGACGCTGGCGCTGGTACCGGCGACGTCGAGGTCAACGTGATGGAGATCAGGCCGCCGATGATGGACGAGAGTGGGCGAACCAAATATCCTGTCCTTTTCCAGGTGTCAGTTCTCGCGTCTCGTCAGTCGCTCTCGCTTTACACCTCTGACCGGATCTATGTCGTGTATCCGCAGGTACGGCGGGCCGAATAGCCAGATCATCACCAACAAGTTCCAGCGCGACTTCCAGCACTACCTCGCGACCACCCTCGACTACGTCATAGTCCGTATCGACCCTCGCGGGACCGGCTACAACGGGCGCAAGTTCCGCTCGACTGTGCGCGGTCGACTCGGCGAGATCGAAACCAAGGACGTGACAGAGGTGGCGCGGCGATGGGCCGAAAAGGCGTACGTCGACGGGAAGCGAGTCGGAGTTTGGGGATGGGTGAGTCGGCCGCTCCCGTGGCTGCTCAATAAGACTCAGACTGTTGCGTGCCACTCGAACTGATCTTCGAGGTCCAACGTCCGCAGTCTTACGGCGGCTTCTTGACTTCGAAGCTGATCGAAGCGAATGCGTCGGTCTTCTCACTCGGCATGGCGGTCGCGCCCGTCACCGACTGGCACCTGTACGATTCGCTATATACGGAGCGCTACATGGGCTTGCCCGAACGGAACGCGGGCGGGTACCGCAACTCGAGCGTCCACGAGATGGACGGGTTTCGACACGCCGACTTTGCGCTCGCTCACGGGTGCGCGCTTTTCCTTGCGGAGGGTAATAGCGCTCCATATTGACGAGGTTGCTGCTCTCATAGCTCCGGCGACGACAATGTTCATTTCCAGAACTCGGCTCTCCTACTCGACCGCTTCACGATGGCGAAAGTCCGGTGAGTTTTCCCTTGTGCGGAGTTTGCCGTCATCCTCGTTACTGACGGCGCCGAGTCTCCAGCAACTTCCGCTTCCGCATGTTCACCGACTCTGACCATTCGATCCAGACAAGGAGCGCGTACGGCGAGCTCCTCCACTGGCTCGAAGGTTTCGTGAGTTTCTCAGCTATGTTCTTGACAAGAGCGCGAGGGGAATGCTGAATCTACCCTGCCTACCTCGCAGCTTCTTGAGCGCTTCGGGCACGGTGGCCGGACGAAAGGTCGCTGGAAGATGCGCAAGGATCCGAACTCGGCGCGACCAGCTTTCGGACC